TGAATATGAATATGAACAGTAGTTTGAATATTAACAGTAGTGCAAATTGAATGAGCACATGAGCGTGTGTTGAGTGTATAACCTGTTTTTTAATGATGCAGAGTTCAGTGTTAGAAAGTTTTTGTGTTGTGTGGAATTGTGTGAAGGTTTTGTGTTAAGGCGGTAGAAGAGGAAGGGGAGGCACAGAGTTCAGCATCCTGACTGCCTGATGAAGAGCTGTCTCGCAGTCTGCTGGTTCGAGCCTGGAGACTCCGCAGTCTCCTCCCTGATGGCAGCAGGCTGAAGAAGCTGTGTAGTGGGTGTGTGGGATCACCTGCCATGCAGAGGGCTTTCCGAGTGAGGCGGGTACTGTGCAGGTCATGTAGTGAGGGGAAGGAGGTGCAGACAATGTTCTCGGCTGCTCTCACGATGCGCTGGAGTGTCTTGCGGCAGGATGCAGTACATGCACCGAACCACACCGTGATGCAGCTGGTCAGGACACTCTCTATGGCACCCCTGTAGAAGGTGCACATGATGGGGGTTGGAGCTCCAGCTCTTTTCAGCTTGCGGAGAAAGTAGAGGCGCTGGTGAGCCTTCTTGGCCAGTGATGCAGTGTTCCTGCTCCAGGACAGGTCCTCTGAGACGTGCACTCTCAGAAACTTGGCGCTGCTCACTCTCTCCACAGTAATGCCATTGATGGTCAGAGGAGCATGCTGGGCGTGCATCTTCCTGAAGTCCACAACAATCTCCTTTGTCTTATCCACGTTCAGAGAGATTGTTGTGTCTGCACCACAAGGCCAGGCGGCTCACCTCGTTCCTGTAGTCTGTCTCGTCATTGTTGCTGATGAGACCCACCACAGTCGTATCGTCAGCAAACTTGACAAAGTAGTTGGAGCTGTACGATGGTGTGCAGTCGTGTGTTAGAAGGGTGAATAGAAGTGGGCTCAGCACGCAACCTTGGGGGGCCCCTGTATTCACTGTGATGGTGCTGGATGTGTTACTGCTGACCCGTACTGCCTGTGGTCTCCTGGTCAGGAAGTCTAGCAGCCAGTTACACAATGAGGTGTTCAGCCCCAGACTGTCCAGTTTAAGGATGAGCTGTTGGGGGATGATGGTGTTGAATGCCGAGCTGAAGTCAATGAACAGCATTCTACCATAAGAGTCCTTAGTGTCCAGATGTGTGAGGGCTGTGTGGAGGGCAGAGGAGATGGCGTCGTCGGTCGAACAATTTGGCCGATATGCAAACTGGAAGGGATCCAGGGAGGCAGGAAGGACAGAGTTGATGTGTTTCATGACTAGCCGTTCGAAGCACTTCATCAGGATGGGGGTGAGTGCCACCGGACGATAGTCATTGAAGCAGGAGGGCGATGCCTTCTTTGGGACAGGGATGATGGTGGGAGCTTTTAAACAGGTGAGGACCATGGTCTGACTCAGTGAGATGTTGAAGATATCTGTGAAGACTGCTGCAAGTTCCACTGCACAGTCCTTCAGCACACGACCAGGTATGTTGTCAGGACCAGAAGCTTTTCGGGCGTTGATCTTGATGAATGATCGCCTTACACTGTCGGTGGACAGCGTCAGCACCTGGTCATCGGGAGAGGGGGAGAGTTTCTGTGCAGGTGTGCTGTTACATGCTTCAAACTGAGCAAAGAAGTCATTCAGCTCATTCAGTGTAGAGGTTGTGCTGTCTCAGGTTTGTGGGGCTGGCTTGTAGTTTGTGATGGTCTGTATTCCCCGCCACAGACTCCGTGTATCCTTGCTGTCACTGAAGTGATGAGCGATCTTCCTGGAATACTGCTTCTTGGCCTTTGATGCCCCGGGACAGGTTGTTTCTGGCTGCCCTCAGGCCCACCTGATCTCCTGCTGTGAAGGCAGTGTTTCTGGCTCTCAGGAGTCTGTAGACCTCTGCTGTCAGCCATGGCTTCTGATTTGCCCGAACAGTGATGGTCTTGAGGTCAGTTACATCATCAATGCACTTGGTGATGTATGAGCATACAGTATCTGAGTACTCTTGAAGATCTGTGTTGCTGTTTTTGGTAGCAGCTTCTTTGAACATATTCCAATCTGTGGTGTTGAAACAGTCCTGAAGAGCTTCTGAAGAGCCCTCCGACCACACTCGTACCCGTTTGCAGACTGGTTTGGTGACTTTAACCAGTGGTCTGTATGCTGGCATTAGCATAACACTGATGTGATCAGAGGCGCCGATGTGGGGGAGGGGAAGGGCCTTGTGGGCTCCTTTCATGGTGGTGTAAACTTGGTCCAGTGTATTGTTTCCTCTTGTTGGAAAGTCTATGTGTTTGTATGTCTTTGGAAAGACGCTCCTTAGATCTGCATGGTTAGAATCACCAGCCAAGATGAGAAAAGCATCAGGGTGGGCTGTCTGCTGCTCACTGATGTGCAGATACAGTTCATTTAGTGCCTCACTTCTATTTTTGTTGCTGGAGCTTGGAGGTATATAAACAGCGATGATTATAACAGCTGTAAATTCCCTCGGTAAATAGAATGGTCGGCCTTTAATAACCATAAATTCCACTACAAGTGAGCAGTGTTTGTAGACCACAGCAGAATCACGACACCAGGCATTGTTGATATAAACACAAAGTCTCCCGCCGCGGGTCTTACGTCCCTCAATGAGAGCTCTGTCCGCTCTGTAGCATGTTAGCTGCTCGAGCTGAATAGCATGGTCCAGAACGTTGTTATTAAGCCATGTTTCCGTGAACACAAAGACACAACAGTCTCTCACAGTCTTCTGTGTTGTTCGTAGTAGGCCAACACATTATTAAAAACTGGAAGGATAGTGGGGACCCATCGTCTTCCAAGAAGAAATGTGGCCGGAAATAAATCCTGAATGATCGTGATCAGTGATCATTTAAACGTTTGGTGAAATCAAATGGAAGAAAAACACCAGCAGCACTCAGGGCTGTGGTTCATAGAGACAGTAAGAACATTTCCACTAGAGCTTTAACAAACTACTCGAGTAATCCACAGGTCGATTCCTGGGACATCTATTGAGTTTTTAAATTTCATTTGCTGAAACGTTTCAGCAAAAAAAGAAACTGTCCAGATGACCTGACTGAAAATTGTTGGCTTGTATACCTGGATTATTGAGCATGGACTTTCTTGTTTTTGATCCTTGTCTACTGTTCCTTTGTTGTACTTTATATTTCTGCTGTTGTTGGATGTAACTGGGACCTGGAGAACACAACATGTGATGAGAAGGACAATAAAGAACCTCGACCCTTGAACCGTGTTATGACACGTTACACCCCCCTCCTACCAAATGCCAGGCACAGTACTGGACAGATCCAGCTGAAGCTCGGACCAAACGGGGTCATGATGGTTCTGTTTATTTTAAGGTGGACCTGATGCTTTGCTTCAGAGGACTTTAACGTGTTCAACAAAGTAAACATGTAAAACTCACGTATGGAGGCGTGTCCAGGCTGTCCGTGTTGACCACCACAGGCGGAGGATTGGCCTGAGAAGAAAACACAAATGTCAACCACCATCCTGACAGTAAGCATCATCAACATCCACCCAGAAGAGCTGAGCTCCACCTGGCAACGCCCCTGAACGCTGCAGAAGAGGCAGTTCTGAAGCATGAAGCCCGACATACAGCTAACAGCTGTATGCAGGACGACACGCTCGCCTCCTCTCTAAACTCAGAGCGTTTCAGCTCGCTCCGTCTCTGACAAGCAGCAGCCAGATGGAGGAGGAGGAGGAGGAGGAGGAGGAGGAGGAGGGTGACATATCAGGGTTCAGAGTTTTTATCTCTACTCTGCTCCAAATCAGAGACACAGCTGGACTGCAGAGAGATGAGCAGCTAAACAGCTGCAGATAAACCTGTAAACCTGATAAACCTGGATGGATGGATGATGGATGGATGATTGATGGATGACTGATGGATGGATGAATGAATGGATGGATTGATGGACGATGGGGGGATGATGGATTGTTAATGGATGGATGGACAGATGAGGGTTGGATGGATAATGAATGGATGATGGATTGATGCTGGTTTATGGATGGATGATGGATGTATACATGAATGATAGATGGATGATGATTGGATGACAGATGATGGCTTGTTGGATGGATGGATGACAGATGGATTTTTGGAGGGATGGATGACAGATGGATTGGTGGATGGATAGATGATGGATGGATG